CTTTTAAGTATCACCAAGAATGTAGTGATTAATAGTGTGGTCTCTGGAGTCAGATCACCCACTGGAATCCCAGCTCTGCCACTTACTAGCTGTATGATACAAAGAAAATTGCTTGATCTCTCAGTTTCCTCATCTATAAAATGGGAATAAGAGCACCTGCCTCAGAATACCTATGAAGTACTTATAACAGTGCCTCATATATAGTAAACATTCAACAAATGTCAGCTATTATTATCAATGTTCATCAATCATATTAAAAGGAAATCTGACTCCCATTCCACTGTCACTGAAAATCTCCTCTGACTCTTGATAGCTATTAAACGCTTTAATACCATTCCAGATTTCCTAAAATTTAATGGTTGTGGCATCTGCTTGTGACAAATCTATGCTTATAACAGTTTGAGGAGACATTATGTTCCTTCATATTAATTGACAAAAAAAGATACCAAGATGCCAAATGGCAAGATGTCACCCCAGCTGCCCTTTAGTGAACCAATTTATTTGGAAATGTATTCTGTCCTCTGGCAGTACATTGCTGATATTCATCTGTGAATATAAGGTCACATCACCATAAGCAGGGCTGGAAAACACAAATTAAGTTGATTCATCAATAACTGTTCCTACTGTTGAGATTTTGAAATATAATAAAGCTGAAACATAATAAAGAGCGACAACCTCCTGCCTCTTTCTCTGACAGTGAGGATTTGGTGAAACTGCTGATGTGCTGAGGATGGGGAATGAACATTGGAAGAGAAGGTGGTGGAAGACACTGGAGGCACTGGTTCAGGTTCCACCTAGGTAGATGGTGTAACGTATGTTTACTGGGTGGATTACAATAAGTAGGAAATCAAAACAACAGTAATTCAAGACTGACGAGTAGTATCTCTACTCAAGAGCAGGGCAGTGGAAGTAGTCTGCTCTAGGTATAGAAAATAAGGGGACGTGGTATCTATAGAAAATCCAAAAATATGGATGAAATGACCAAAACCCAGACCACTTTTTATTAACATCATGCATTGGCAAATCAATACAATGTCACTGATAAAATATTCCTCCCTACCCCCAATCTTTTGTTCGTTTAAATTCCAATTACTGTAGTCACTGCTGAATTTTAATGATATACACATAAGCTTCAAATTAGCACACTTTACAATCTGTATCTCTACTAAACACTTACTCCAAGTGGAATTTAGTTTGGAGAACACCCATTTATACCTGTGTGGAAGCAGATTGAGCTACACCGATGCATTTTCAGAGTAAGTTTGTAACGGTTCCAAATTGCTCAGTCTGGCTTCATAGTTTGTGTAGCCTACCACCACTCTAAATATTTTTGCACTTAAAGAGCAGATTCAAACAGACAATGATAGTCTGACGATCATAAAATGAAGAAAATGAGTTTTCGTTGCTTCATTTCTGTCATATATGTGACCATTTGAAGTTTTTAACTTGCACGAGAACAGTGAAACAGTGAGAACAGGTGTGATATTTTTGTTTGGGAAGTGCAGATTTTATTTTATACAGGAAATATTTTAATGGATATAAATAATATCCTTTAAATCAGAACTTGTTTTTAACTTTTTTCAAGACTAAATATATCAGTAAACTAAACATGATATATATCAATAAACATATATCTAATAATCAGTGAAAGATTTACTGATATAATCATTATGCAGAAAATAATAATTGTTGCTGATATTAAATAGTTATTAGCAAAAATAATTATGTTGTATAGAGGGCGTTAAAAAAGTGATGAACCCCAGGTTAAATGTACAAAGTACACTACTGTCTTTGATACTCTTCGGTTCTGCAATTAACTCCACTTAGCAGCATTAAAAAAAAAAAAAACCCAAGACCTTGAGAATGAGTATCAGAACTAGTAGTGTTGACTGCCACCGGGTTCTAGCTGTCCAAATGCACAAACAAATCTCTGTTATTCTGTGATAATTCACATGTTTTAGAAGTCAAACATATTTTAGAATGGGCAGAACAGCCCTAATCAGATAATGGTCATTCGCAAAAGAAATAGGAAAAAAGACTAAACTGCTAATTGCTGGCATTAATGTTACTGAATCATGGCTCATTTATAACCATTAACCTAGTTACTATGGCATATTATCTATCTTATTTTTACATCAGATTTTAGAATCCTTCAGGATGAAATAATAAATGGGAGCTTTCTAGTCAGAGTTGAAAGGCTACTTGATTAGTAGGTAACATAGCCACTCAAATTTTTAAGCAGAGAAATTATATTCTGAAATTTAACAACTCATATTGAGTGAATTGATGTGAAAAAGGCAAAGACTTGCTAAAACTATTTGATTGGATGCTTACTAATGGAGAACAATTTGATAACTTAGAAAATTAAATTATGCTTTCCTAACCAATTTGTGGTTAATTTTCGATTTTAAAATTGTATGACTCATCCCTTAGACTGGCAAAGGCTGGTTAATGTTCACACTGTCTAGCAGTGTGTTTGTTGGTGATGGCTGGGTCTCACAGACCAAACCAAAGGAGAAAAGTCTCTGATATTCAATGGAATGATAAATATAAACAAATACTTATAAAAATGTGACCAGTGAGATCATAGAGAAACATATAAATGCTACAGAAGCAAAAAGGAATAACTCAAAATAAGCTCTAAACCTCAACTACTTTGAAATCAAGACAGACATGTCAGAATTAAATATATAACCAGGGAAAGTTCATTCAGCATGGACTTTTTTTTTCTTTATATCTAAATAGTCCAATCATTTTGAGTAGTTTCACCTCCAATAGATTTAATTAATTTCACCACAAAATCCTAAAATCAGAATAATTTAGATAAAGGACTGGGGGCAGTGAAAATCATGGATTAGAGACAGCTACAGGATGGTGAAAAGGGAGGGCAACATCTGGATGCTTGAAGAAGGGTGTAGATGGCAAGCCATTAATGAATTCTGGAACAGAATGTGCAGAGACAGATGAGCCACTCTTAAGTTTCTCTTTAGACACCCTGTGTATGAACTGTCTGTCTACGGGACAACCGTATACAGACGTCCAGTAGAAGGTGAAAAAGCAGTTTGGAGTTCTAAGAAAGGTGGGGCTTGCTGATACAGTTTTAGAAATCACCATGTGAGAGACAGGGATTAGAATCAAGGGACTGGATGAGGTAGACTTAGGGAGAGGATGTCATATGGGAGAAAAAAGACTGAGAATGGAACTTGATTATATACAGTTTCACATCATTCTTTAAAATTTTACCATGTGATAAAAAAGTATAAACTTTCCTAAGCTATAGATCCCTATCTTTCTTTTATCCAGAAAGGTTGCTAAGAACATGATGTTAGAAGGTAGAGAAGGGTCAGTAGAGTATCCTCCAGACTGAGAAGGCACTCTGAGACGGAAAACCAGAGCAAGCCACTCCATAGTGTTTGCAGTTTCATTCAGGGTAACTGACTGATAGGGGAATCAAGGTGACAGATGATCCATGCACTATGCAGCTGTTCTCTGCCCTCTGTTCTACTCCATCCGGACCTTAATCCACAACTTTTATGGGGCAAGGGACATGGTGGTGAGGTCACAGGGTATTTCTCTAAAGTGGCACCTCAGGTGTGCCAGCCATCTCTACTAGTTACCTAAAGTGGGGCCTTCTGCACATAACTCCAGGAACAATCAAAACAAGCCATTCTACATTCTGGTCAGGGCATATGTTAACCTCCCAGGGGCCTGGAACACATAGCCCACAGGGAGATCACTGCATAGGCACAAACAAGATGAAAGGCCAAGAGTCAGTGTTGTCAGCTCTCCTACGCATGGGCTCTGAGAAAGAGTACTAACTGCCACTCAGGAGCTGGGTGGGTATGGGCAAGTTACACAATCTGCAGACCTCAGTTTCCTTATCTGTACAATAAGAATATCATAGTCACCACCACATTATGTACAGTGTTTGTGAGAATTAGATGAGGCATGTAAAGTGCTTCATACAGTGAGTGGCACAGAGAAAGCACTCAGTAAGTGTTGGCTACCATAATGGTAACAATGATCAATCTTACTAAAATTCTGGCCATATGGCAGGTACTTTAATAAATCCTGTCTATATTGCTCTATATTTTTTTAAAATCTATTTCCATCTTTCAATGAAAGGCCCATATAGAGTATTTTGTTGAGTTGAATAAAAAATAATTCACTATACAATACAGAATGACCTCATTCTCTGATTATATAGATACAATTGTCACTATACAAAAGAACTTAATTGGGAAATGAGTGCAATCATTTCCCTCTGTGTTGATATTAAGTAACCTGATGCTTCTTGATCTTTTTCTACTTTCTATTCTAAGTATCTATGAATAAAAACAAAACAAAACCCAAAGTTTCCTAATCATCCACTGAAATGGATGAAAATGCTTAGTCAGAGTGAACTAATGTGTCCTCAAAGCTCCCACAGTTATAGTTCCACTACTCTACTTATTAAATTGTATCACCAAAAAAAAAATTGTATCACAGTTAGCAACATGTGAGTCTGTTTCTTCCCATAGATTCATAGGCACATTGAGGTCAAAAAATGAATCATCACTGCATCCTCAGAATCCAATCTAGTTTTTAGCATGTGCTAGATACTCAGTAAGTATTCTGATTATAGGAAGAAGGAAAGAATGAACGAAGGAATGAACAAAAGAACGAAGTAATGAATGAGCAAATAAAAGAACTCAAGGAAAGGGATAATCTGGATTGTACAAAATAAAGAATGTAGGCCAGATGATCTCTGCAGTTCTCTATGATTCAGTTGAAGATTACTCTATGGTTGATGTATTTTATCATAATGGTATTAGGTATGTTTCACTGTCATTAATGATGAAAATCTGTCAGTTGGATAGAAATAAATGCTACAGTTTCAATATTCATAAAGCATTGGTATTTTTATGGAAAAGCAATCTTAAAATTTAAAAATCCACTCAGTTGGAAAAATATGTACTATGGCACTTAAAAATTTTTTTTGTTTTTAACCCTGCACTTACCAGGCAAATGAACCAGTTCTACCTTGTGTAGGGGTGGAGATGATGGACCACCAAAGAGGAAGAAAGAGGTTCAAAGTGCCATTCTGCAATATTGTCTGTGAATGGAAATTATGAACATCAAATTAGCATGCAAATGCAGAGATGGTATATGTCACAGATCATATGACTATGGGTGCAATCAAATATAGTAATTTTGTATTTTATGGAACACTTAGGGGTAAAGACAACATGCCAGATTAAAGAGGCTTCTAAATAACTGATCTTTAGCCTTTTTTAAAAAGGGATTTGAGGGAGAGAGTGGTGCCTGCACGAGCACGTGGGAGGAGGGGCAGAGAAAGAATCCTCAAGCCGACTCCTTGCTGAGCATGGAGCCCACCTCAGGGCTCATTCCCACAATCCAGGAGATCATGAGCCAAAACCAAGACTAAGCCATCCCAGGTACCCAGATCCTTTGCCCATATTAAAGATAACATTTTTTTTTTAAATGTTACCCTCTGGGGATAGGACATCCTCTGAGAGGTATCATTACAAAAAGAAACCATATTATTTAAATGCTTTGGACCACAGGTAAAAGAAAACCCAATTAACAGAGGCTTAAGCAATAAATGCATTCCATTCTCTACATAACAAAAAGTCTTAGGTTTTCAGAATTGGTTTAGAACTCAGCAAGGTCATTGAGGATTCAGACTCTTTCTGTGCTTCCCTTCCCTCCTTCGCCAGAATACTGGGGAGGCCTTGTCACAAAATGGCAGCCAAAGTTCTAAGTATCTCATTCTTCCTCACAAGTCCATTTCCCAACGGGAAGGAAGGAGTGGTGGTAAGAAAGGATTTTCTAGTCTTGTGGCTCCTTGATTTATCACAGAGGAAAACCTTTCCCAGAAGCTTCCACACTGACTTGACCTTACATCTTTTTGTCTCCTGGTACAGAAATTTTCTTAAATTTTTTATTCAATATATGTAAACAACAACAACAACAACAAAAACCAGTTTAACCATTTCTCCCACCCCACCACCACCCTCTGCCTCTGGCAACCACCATTCTGTTCTCAGTACCTATGAACTTGCCTTTTAAGATTCCACATATGAGGAAGATCATATAGTACTACAGTATTTGTCTTTCCCTAACTTATTGCACTTAGCATAATGCTCTTAAGTCCCATCCATGTTGTAAATGGCAAGATTTCATTCTCTTTTACGATTCAGTAATATTCCACTGTGTATAAAAACCACAATTTCATAATCTGTTTATCCATCAATGGACATTTATGCTATTTCTTTATCTTGTCTATGTATAAATGATGCTGCAATGAACATGGGGGTGCACATATCTTTTCAAGTTAGTGTTTTTGTTTTGTGCATATTTTTAAATTACGTACATTTACTTACAAAAAGGAGGCTAAAAAATGATAGGGCAGAGGTTTGACAAAGTTGAAGATGAGAACTGAATCTGCTGCATCCAATCCTTTTAAGAAATCTACTACTAAGCAAAGATCCCTTTCTAATCCTATATGATCACCATGGTGCTGAAGAAAGTAAAATTAGAATGATCTGGGATTGAATTACAGCTCCATTATTTACCCCTTGTAAAATGAAGACAAGAATGTCTACCCACATATAAATGAAGACAATAACATCCACAGATTGTGTAAGGGGTCTATCTTGCCATGTTTAGGCTTTAGATAATTTTTTTTTTTCTTACAGAAGTTTCTTTTCCCCTATGCTATTATGAAACCAGAATATGACTGCTATGTTCCTGAGTCAAAGCACAGGAGTCATATTACTCAAGGAACTAGATAAGATCTATATATGCACATGAGAAAGAAAATTTATTATTATTTCTTACTGGATAGGGCTGGTACAACTTCTTATCACCTTCACCACACAGAGAAGATGACTAAGCTTGCTGATTAAAGCAATTATTCAAGAACGCAGGCAGAAGAAAACAAGGAGCAGTAAACACCTAACACTAACTGGCAAGGAGACAAATTAGCTGATCTTTTTTATTCTGAAAATGGGTCACTGTATCCTCAGCAGTAACCTCGGAATTCTAATGACTGTGGAACCCAGAGAGTGCTGACCAGAGGAACAGAGCAGTGGGATGAAAATAATTAACTCTGGTAGTTCTGACTACATTATTATCATCAAATAATTTTCAAGGTGTGAAATCTTACATTTAGCAAGAATAGAGTCCTGAAATAGCATTCTCCTGGCTTCTTCCTCTTCCTTCTTAAAATTACTAACTGAAGGTAGTAAAAATGGCAATGGACTGAAAAGTCAATGACCCAGGCTGGGTTCCTGGGTTATGCTTCATTACTTTGTTTTTGAATCTCCATTTCCTCAGTATAAATGAGGTGAGGTTGGACCACATCTATCTCAAGCATCGTCCAACACTTAAGACTCTATGAATCTGGAGCAGTTTGATTTTTTTAAACAAGTTTTATTTTATAGCAACACCAATCTTATATTTCCATAATAGCAAAGCTTTATTAGAAAAATAAAGGAGTCTATGATCAAATTTTTCCAGTAAGATAAGAATGGCCAATTATTACCCAAGACCTGGAAGTAAGGATGACTTGTCCAAAAGTCATCCTGATATTCTGAGATTTAGAAAATGCAACCAGGGATCCCTGGGTGGCTCAGCGGTTTAACGCCTGCCTTTGGCCCAGGACGCGATCCTGGAGACCCAGGATCGAGTCCCACGTCGGGCTCCCGGCATGGAGCCTGCTTCTCCCACTGCCTGTGTCTCTGCCTCTCTCTCTCTCTCTCTCTCTCTCTCTCTCTCTCTCTCTCTCGCTCTCTATATATATATATATATATATATATATATATATGTCTATCATAAATAAATAAATAAATCTAAAAAAAAAAGAAAATGCAACCAAAGATAACTGATACGTTTATTAACACACACTAGAATAGACAGTAGGTTAGAACAATAAGACAGTAAGTTTTGTCAAACAAAAATATTAAGACCAAAATTTTAAGTAACACATAGCAGAAACAATTTTTTTATTCCTTCTTGGCCGCTTGACTAAAAGATCAAGTTTAGAAACAAGAATCTTTTTTAAAAGATTTTCTTTATTTATTCATGAGAGACACAGAACAAGAGAGAGGCAGAGACCTAGGCAGAGGGAGAAGCAGGCGCCATGCAGGGAGCCTGATATGGGCCTCAATCCCGGGACCCCAGGATCACGCCCTGAGCCAAAGGCAGACATTCAACCACTGAGCCACCCAGGCATCCCAGAAACAAGAATTTTTATTAATCCAGAGACTAAGTTAATCAAATCAAGCTACTGGAATAAAGTACACATTAGGATCCCACTGACCTCACGGTGGCTTCACATGACAACTAGACAGGCATGCTATTTGGGATAACTTTTTTGTCTTAGATACAACACCTCTACTTCCAGTGATCATATTTCAAGCCAAAAATTAACGGAGCCTAATTATTGAAATTGAAACTAACCTAAAAAGCCAATAATCTGATACAAATAATCACCATGCCTGCCTCCTACCCAGCCAGAAGAAATGGGGGTGAGGCAAAGTCAAGGACTACATTAAACACAGAGTTAAAAAATAAATAAATAAATAAATAAATAAATAAATAACCACAGAGTTAAGGAATATGGTCTACGTGCAATTTCTATTTTAGCTCCTGAGGATCTTTTTTCTCAAAGAAAACAAAAAGTTTTTGAGAAGGTTTAGATAACCAGGACAATTGGCAAACTGTCATGTATATCAAGTCAATGCTTCCTCTAACAGTAACTCCTTCAGCTACTTTTTATCTCTTTCTTCACTCAAAGTTACCACTTCCAGATCATAAAAATTTCATTTTCTTAGGGTAAATTAAATATCTTAAACTTTTCAAATACTTTAATTTACATTTTGGGCGTTCGGTTTTCCTTTTATTTTTACTAACGTGGCTATTTTATATTTATGTTCCCTTTAATCGCAAAGTTATATATACAAGTAGTTTAAAAAACCAAATAGTAGGGGATCCCTGGGTGGCTCAGCGGTTTCGCGCCTGCCTTTGGCCCAGGGCGCGATCCTGGAGTCCCGGGATTGAGTCCCGCGTCGGGCTCCTGGCATGGAGCCTGCTTCTCCCTCTGCCTGTGTCTCTGCCTCTCTCTCTCTAGCTCTCTATGTCTATCATAAATAAATAAAAATAAATCTTTAAAAAAATAAAAATAAAAATAAAAAACCAAATAGTTTTACATGGCTCATTACACAAAATAGTAGTGCCTTCCTGGTCCCATTTTTCCCATTTCCCATTTCCCAGAGGCAAACACAGTAAAATGTTTTAATTGTTTATTTTGGCAATGATCTCTATATCTCCAAATGTAATGTTATATTGCTGCTTTTGATTTTTTAGTTATAAAAGTCTATTATTTTTAGATTTCTACTATGGATGTCACCCATCTTTCCCATCCTCCCAACTACAGTTATTATCATTTTGTATGACTCTATTTTCAATGTTTACATTACTACATAAATGATATTTCCAGCTGACCACATGCTATATTAATGATTACATTTTCCTGAACAACTCCTCTTCCTATCCTAACCCCAACCTCAGCAACTATCTTGTTTTTAATTTTTTGAATGTACATACTGCAATTATTTTGAAAATACTCCACAACTGTATTTCTCTTAATGAGTTAAATAACAAATTCTGTTGATTTCATCTTTTTAGTTACATGGCCCCTGAAGATTTTGGATCTGTTCAAATTTCGACTATTTTGCTCTCTAGGCTAACAAAAGAGTTGTCATCTTTGAGATTTTTCCTTCACCAATACCCTGTGCATTCCCTTTGCTTCACTTTTGTGTTAAAACTACTGTTTCCTGCTTATCAGATTTGTCCCTCTCTTTTTTGACATCTTTACTTTGATGAAGATGCTCTTTTAGTAATTTGCTAGGAAGTAAAAATGTTGAAATCCTGAATGTATGAAAGTATACTTATTTTACCCTCATACACCGAAGGTGTAATTATTTGGGGGGTGGGTGGGTATTGGATTTCACTTTATTTTTTTCCCTTTCCTGTTTTGGCATACAAAACAGTATTACCAAAAGTAAGTAGCCAGAAAGGAGCAGTGAG